CCATTCTAGCAGATTTTCTGTTGAGCAGAGCGATGCTACTCACCAGTTCTGGAGGACCAATAGGCCAATACGAACGGTTTCATCCTTGGTTCGTGACAGCTGATGATGCAGCCCGTATCGCGGAGTTGTAAGGGAGAGTGCCCCACGAACAAGAAGGGGGGTGGTCTCAGACAAGACAGCGTGTACTTAAGAGAGGATTGCATAAGGGGACATCCGATAGACATCTTATCTCTCCTCCTGAACTGGCAGCTGTCTACCGCAGCTCACTTCCACATTCGCGGACGAAAGCACTCCTTCTAAAGTCGAGATGCGGATTGAATGCAGCCTGCCTAATCCAAGCAAGGCAGCCCTTTTGGCTATTTATAAAAAGATCTGGGATAAAGTCTGCGCTGTTGATCAATCCCTTTGTGGGATGCGGCACGCAGGTCAGCCGATGTGTAAGCGAGTGTTCTCAGACTCCCAGACGAATCTGGTACCAATTCACCGCCCCGAAAGGTAGAAGGCTTGGTTGGCCTGGGCGGAGTCGACCCGGGATTTGAACCCAGGACCGCGCGAGTGGTAAGCGCGCCTTTTTGCCACTACACCACCTCAGCATTTTTTTGGCTACAAACAGACGAAAATGGGCTCGTTCAAGCTTTCACGGTAAAGGTGAATTTTTGCAGATCTCTTCTCACTGCTATCTGAAAGGAGTCGTATTACTGGAAACGCTTGAAAGTGTCGTCGGTGAGGAGTATATGTTGGCCGTCATTCGAAATCTCGTCTCCACAAAAACTACGTTTGATCTGAAGACATTCTTGTACTATTTCGAGGACATACCGGTCGACAGGAACATTTCACTAGCGCAGGTAATCTCATCTTCACCCATAATTTGGCCAAAATGTGCTCGGAACTTGGCTTTGGGTTGGCTTCAACACATAAGACAAGACGTCCTATCCCTCACCTCAGAGTCCGTCCGTCGACGGTGTTTAGTTCCTTTGCAGAAGAAAGCGAACTGCAGAAACAATTCCCTTCATTGCTCCACGACAGGAGCATGCTGAGCGCAGGGCAGGGGCAGAAAACCATGGCGCCTTTTCCGCTGGCTTGCATCACGTACGATCTTACATTAGAAAGAGGGGATACCTATGAGAAAGCACGGTGACGGCGCAGTTTGTCGACGGGGAGGGGGGGGGGGGGGCATTCTGCTTTCCATAGATGTGCCGACCCATCTAGGTAGCCTTTTCTCGACACGTTTTAGGATGGTGGCTAGACGATCTTGCACCAGCTTCACAAGGGTTCACAAGTTTTACCAGGGTGAGATTTGTAAACCGGAACTAGGGAAGCAGTGGTAGTACAAAATGCCCCCCGTCGACAAACAGCGCCCACGGTGACTATCACGCCCGCCCATACCTCCGTCATTTCGGCCAGCACAGGAATGCTCCTTTAACTTTTTCAAGTTCAAGTTCGGTTTAGCGTGCCATGAAGATCTTATCGAATTTCCAGGTTTACGAGTTTTGGTTCACGAATGGTGGATTTCCCGCTCTGAAAGTCTCGAGTGCGGCACTCGGCTTCGAGCTCGACCAGCTCGGACAGTTCCCGTGGCCACTTAGACTCACGTCTACAGAGTCACTGCCACCATTTCTTTTTGCACAGAGCCTCATGCTCCCTCCGAAGAACCCTCACACACTGGTCAATGTTAATTTTACATCGTTCATGAGGGTGAATTACGACTCCACAACCTGGATCAATATATTCAGGTAGGGCTTTTGTTGCGCTACTAGGTTGTCGCGAATAATTGTGGGCCACAGCCAAAAATGCAGATGCTCTGGCCTACGGTTCTCATAGGGTTTTAGAAGAAGGGGATCACTATTGTTGCATCTATTCTGATTTAGTCATTTGGACGAACATCCTGAACAGTTCTCAGCAGTTGGTCGTGCTCAACTAGTAAGTGACTTTTGCTACTTCTACGCTCATGACGAAGTCGACAGCGGTGCTGCAATAAAGGAACTCGTGATCGATACAGTAAGTGGTGTTAAAGCTTTCGTTTTCTGTGGCTTAGCCGCTTCTCACATGCTTGGAGTTCCCTGCTACACTCTAGTTCGCCGCGGACGGTTGGGCGTGTCAGGCAGTGATGAGTGTGTCAGCCCGTCAAAGCCCGTAAGCCAGAGCATATTCCTGAAACAGGAAAAATCACGAAAAGTCAATAACCTCTCTCAGAGGGCCAAAAGGCAAACATGACACCTCCCCCCCTCCCGTTGCCAAACAGCGAACAAATACCCCCCCCCCCCAACGTCCG